ATATTTAAGCGGCCCTCACACGATCAATATTACTGACAGTATTTTGGATAATGACAGTATTATTGATCGTGTGATGTGAGTACTGATGTACTGTCAGTATGATAAAACGATACTGATGACTGATGAAAAATTCGGATATCGAGTCGTCAGTATTTGGTTACTGATGATTATATTGATAGTGTGAGGTCGATATTGACATTTCGTCAGTATTGACATCGCAGCAATGGATGACACACGTGATGAATTTCCAAACGCGCGCGAATGCCGTGAACAACAATTACGTGATTTTGTTTCCAAGTATAAAGATTTAAAATGTTTATGGGATATTCGTTGCAAAGACTATAGTAATAGAGACAAAAAAAAAGATGCTTATAGTGAATTATTAGTTGTTTATAAGTTAATTAAGCCTGATGCTTCTATAGATGATGTAAAAAAGAAAATTAATACTTTACGAAGTAATTTCCGTAAAGAATTAAAAAAAATTCATGAATCTAAAAGAAGTGGCGCTGGAGCTGACGACATTTATCAACCTTCGAGTTGGTTATTTGAAGAACTGGCGTTTTTGGCCGATTTGGAAAAACCAGTAGATAGTACTTCATCGATAAACGATGACACAAATAATGACAAGGTAAGATCATTAAAATATATTATTTTATTTCTAAAAATATAATAAAAGAATAATACAAATATAAATTAGTTAATGTATATTATTAATATTTAACTGCCATGGGACTTGACCTTCTTCACTGAAGTAATCGCAATATTTATCTCTTACCATTTTCCCATTCGCACTTTTATTTGGAATAGGATTTTTTTGCAAAGGAGTTAACACATTTTCGGTTATTTCATCGCCAATTTGAAGTTCACCTGTCTCCAAATTTTCTGTTATGAGTACATTTCTTGAACAATAAAGATGTTTATTATTTTCTATTAAGAAATTATGCAAATAACAGCAGGCTAATGTAATTGTAGACGCTTTGTCTGGTTCGAGGTTTATTGGTTTTTGAAAAACTCCAAACCGACTGGCTAGTATTCCGAAAGCGTTTTCTACCACACGACGGGCACGCGAAAGGCGGTAATTAAAAATACGGCGCTTATTAGTCAAATCATGTCGACTATATGGTTTCATAAGATTAGTCTTCAATGAAAATGCTTCGTCGCCAAGAAATACATAAGGGTATTTTTCAATAGTATTTGTTAAACATGACGGTGGTGGAATGTTTAAAGTATGGTTTTCAAATTTTTCNGTGGAATGTTTAAAGTATGGTTTTCAAATTTTTCCCAAAATTTTGTGTAGTAAAGTACGCCTCCATCTGATATTCTACCATTTGCTCCAACATCTACCATAGTGAATTGATAATT